CCCCCCCCACCTCATGTCAGCTGAGCGCCGCGCTCACCATCACTTCGCTTTTTCCCCGCTTGGAGCGACAGCTGCTCAGGTCAACAGTACAGCTTTTGACCACAAGGCGCGCCACGCACCACTCCTTCCTTGCCGAACGGGTTCCTGTTTCCTCCGCGTGAGACCGCCACCTCCCGGACATGTATGTTTTGTGATGGATGGGTATAGGAACTTTGCATTTTAATAAAAAAGTGGGTATTTTGATAAATTTCTTTGGTTTATTTTATAAAGTATGTACATATTATTTACAATTCTTTTATTTACATCACATATGATACATTTAATCTCTTAAATCTTACTACATTTTTTTTATTTTCTCCTTAATTTATCAGTCTTCTCCCTCACTCTCACTATCTGTCCCCTCCCTCCCCTCCCCCCTTAATCTATAGTGACCAAATGCCAATGTTTCTACATTTGATGATAATATATATCTCTTATTATCAAAGCATTGTAATGCCCGTCGAGAGGAGAAGGTGGTGAATAGGTGATGCTTTTGGTCGGTGCCTATTTTTCCATAAGTAACACTTTTAGAGTTAAGACTTTCTATACAATTTTTATAATCGACATAGCTTATTTGAGTTCTAACAGCACTCCTAGGCACTCCTTTTGCAACACTCTTGTGCTTATCTCCTAACAGCTTTAAACAATATAGTTTTGGTGCCAGCCCAACTACACCACACAACGGGTCTCCACCTAACTCATCCTTAAACTTCCCCAATACACGTGCATTCTTAGAACTATACAGAAAATGGTCCTTCTTATAATTACTTAAATCTAACTCATCCTTAAAGGCTTCCATGTCCTTATACAGATCATCTGTTTTAATAGATAGAATATAACTATCGGTATCATGTACACATGTTCTAACATTTTCTCCATACCTAGGTTTAATTATATTATAGTAGAATTTAAACATATGCTCCTTAGCCAAATCTAAACACACAGCTCCTGAGTACAGAGGTCTATTTAACACTATACATGCCTTGCGCTTCTCCACCGCAACAACATCATTATCAAACATTTCAAAGGAATGAAACAATGGAGACTTAACATGTTTTAAAAATTTCTGAGTAGATTTGGTGAGATAGACATTCCTCCTTTTCCTAACTGATTCTATTGTTTTTCCAAATACACTATTATTTAACAATTTCCACATGCTCTTTTGGAATTCTGAGGTACATTTTTGACGTTGCTCTGTATTAAACCTAATGTATTTTTCCAACCAGGGTTTCTGATTGAATTTTACCACTCTATGAATTTTTTCTATTTTTAATCCTAGACTAAGATACAATTTGAGAGTTGCAGAATACACTATATATTTTTCCTTCCTCTCTAAGGTAGGGATTAATTTTTTGGTGGACCTTTTGGGAAGACCATATAGCCTTATCATTTTTTTCTGCAACTTACTTAACTCTACATACTTAACTGTTTTGTGTACAGGAGCTGGGGGAAAATCATTTAAATAATCATGAAGATGATCGGGACACAAAAGATCAACCTCAAATAAATACCCTATGCTATCCCCCTCTTCTAACTTTGATATATCAATTTTTTTAATCTCTTCTTCACTAAGTAAACTGAAGCCAGAGGTAGGCAAGGATTGAGAGAGACATTTACCATATAAATTTACAGCATCAAAATACACTAAATAATTTCTTTCCTTACTTGCATCATACGTTTCCGGCACATACGGATTATTACACTCAGCATAACGCTCATTAATTGTACATATTCCACCCCTTGTAGCTTTCTCCCACATCATAAATATCTCCATAGAATCTGAAATTAATTCTAATTTCTCCCCAGTATATAGGAGTGCAGCATCCCAAGCAAAACCTGGACTGGAATAATAGTATGCTACATCTAAATTAAAATTTTTCATAGTCATTCTTCGATATGCCTCAAATACACATGCTAATATCAAAGAATCACTTTTGACGTACAAGTCATGAAATTCACCCATTGTTTTGCATTCAAAGGTTTCCCACACTTTTTGTGCATGGAGATAATCTTCATCTGAAATATGCTCTTCACTTAAGTCATTCCAAAATTTATCTTTGGAGGGTAGGCTTTTTTCTTCAAATACTTCCACACTTTGCATGTGACTGTAAGGATACACGCCCTTCCTTAAAAGGAGCTTCTGTTTCTCTTCTTCAGGAAATACCTCCTTTAAAATTTCAAAGTCAGTTTCAAATGTCAAGTCCCGAACAAGACTGTCTAAACTGCTACTCAGAAAATTATAGCTATCAAGAAATCTTAATTTACCCCACGAAAATGAAATGTACCGCTCCTTTGTACGCGGAATCAATGTAATTTCAGAGAGGTCTGAGGTCACCCTTCCGATGCAAGAGATAATTGCATGTGTATCATATTTTCCCGAATTATGAATAATTACATTAATGAACCTCTTCTCTCGTAGTCCCAAGTTACACGGTGCTGAACAAGCCGCACCACGATAATTTTTTTCTGATAATTTATGATTATGGTCTCTGACCTTTTTAACCCCTTCTCGGGGTAGACTCTCCTTACAGAGATAGCAGTGAGTTGCCTGTGCGAATGCCAACTCATCTTCGGGGGACATATCGATCGGGTAGTCTTCCCCTCTTAATTCTTCAATTTCACTTTCTTCTTTTTTTAAATTTAACAGGAAGCGTTCCATGATATCATTTCCACCCCTTTCTACAACAGGGGGTTTCAATAAATGGCCATCTTGCTTAACAATAACATAGGCATACCCACATGGCTGGTGCACCTGCGTTTTAGTAGTACTCGCTATTGCAGGATCAGGGAATGCTGTGTGCACGGGCACAAGGAGAGCCTCAGTATCAGCATATATACAATAGTCATGGCGCTCACAGTGGGCCCAGTTGGTGAATCGCATTATCTTATCTTTGGCGTGAGGTAGACGAACCGCCTGGGCCTCATTTTTGAAACAGAGCTCCTGGTGAATTTTTCTTCGCTCAGCGCTCTCAGTAGGAGTGAGACAATTGTCACACCAATACAGAGTTCGCTTTTGCTTAGATAAATGTCCCAAAAAGTGATGGACATTCTTTATAAAGACATAATGACTTTCATCATCTTCAGTTGTCATTAATAGCATTCGAATATGATAAATACGATCACATTCTTTTGAAATACGAAGGGGAACAATCTCTCGCTCGCCCTCCAAACCAAACACAGTCACTGCAATATTTTTATTCTGCTTTTCAAACTTGGAAATTTGATTTAATTCTACTGGAAATTTTATGCCCGAGAAATTAAGAGACACACCCGTCCAGTTTTTGTAATGAGACACCCGCTCCGGCTTATTTACGGGGAGTTGAATTCCAGCCATCACACAATACATAAAGCATTTATCATCATCATAATTTTGAATATTTATTAGTCCTTTGGCGGGATGCTGCAACCATTTGGGAAGGGGTAGATAACTAGAGCCCCTTAAGGGACAGTACCTCCCTACCCGCACTTCTAACTTCTCCACATACCCAAACAAAATCTGACTCCCCTCCCCCGAAGAAAACTCATAACTATTCAGTACACCGAGAATGGCTCCCTTAATTTGCTCTTCTAGTTCCTCCTCCCGCAAAGTAATGATAGGAGAACATCTCATGTACCTTAAATTATTATCCTTATCTACCTCCTTTTTTGACTCATGCACTCTAACAAAGGCAACAACATACCACTTAATTTGGTGCAAATCTCTAATATCACTTTTTAAAATATTA